TGTTTTCACTCATTGGAGGGAGCTAAAGGTGAATGAATCAATTCACACACATACATACACATACACATACACACACACACACACTCTCACACACACACACAAAAAGAAACAAACAACAACAACAACAACAACAAAACCAAAAAACCAAAAAACCGGGGGGGTGGGTAGAGGAAGATATAACAACCACAATTTTTTTTGAAGTTCTTACAACAAGAAAATGCAGGGGACACACTTGGGTGGCAGGGGGGAGAGGGAGGAGGGAGGGAGGTTTCGGTGATGGGACACAATAATCAACTACATTGTATATTGACAAAATAAAAAAAAAAGTTGGGAAAAATATTAAGTGAATACAACATTCAGAATGGAATTTAGGATGTGATTTTAAGTACATTACAAGGAAACATAGAAGGAAGAAAAGACCAGTGGTCACAGTGGTCATTCTTGAGTGGTGACATTACAGTGATTTCTTTCCTTCTTTATACTTAAAAAAAATATATTCTTTTCAGGTTTCTTACAATGACAATGTCTCTATTTTTCATAATAGGGAAAAATATTCTAAAAAAATCTTTGGTTCCTCAGAGTATTTCCCATTTAACTGACATCAGACCAAGAATACAGACTTAAGCTGAAGCAGATGGGGTCTCCCAGAAGCAAAGCCCAAACAGGGTATCAGGGTGGTAGACACTTTTGTTGAAAGCTTTTAAGATCAGGGCAGATTTTTAGGTGCTGAGAAAGTGTGGAGGTGGGGCATGGAGTAGGCAGCCTCTCAATGACATTTTCCAGGGGTCTCTTTTTTAGTTCAACTCAAGAGTTCCTAAAGTTTACTGTAGCTGAATCTGTACACATGGATATGCCTGGTATAATCGAGTAAAAAACAATTGTGAAAAATATTCTATTTTGATCATGGAAGCACAAGAATTCTCATAACTGAGTTTTAAAACCTCCCTCAGAGCCCCCACCCCACAACCCCTGTGCTCCCCAGAAGTCCTGTGGGACACACATCCCAGGTCACAGGGGCTTATGGTGGGGTGAGAGGTGATGGGGTGAGATTTGGGGTGCCCGAGCCACCCAGATCTGTCCTGGAGAGAGGGCAGTGCTGGCAGCAGGGTGCAGAGGCTCAATGTCTCCCACAATTCACTCTGGTTCTGCCTCTGTCTGGTCACATTTTGGAAAAAGCATGGTTTAGTCACATTAATTTATTCTTAATAGAAACTTCATTCTGAAATAGAAGGACCAGTGGAGGAGAAAGAATAATCGAATTCTTCAAAGGGCATAAAAATTTATTTCACTTCATTGTGTCTCATGTATAAAAGGTCATCATCTAAAAACAATCATACTGTCATTTGATACAAATAATTGCTCAATATTTACCACTTAAGGTGATTTTCAATCTCTTCAGAAACGTTCTGTCTGACTTTCTGTTCAAAGAGCGCCTCCTTCATCTGTCTTGTTTTTGAAATTTCAGTGCCTTGGTCCAAAACTGAAGGCAGGAGCAAACAATAATTACACCAGTAATCAAATCAGAATCATTTGCTGAGAGAACAACACATTTCTAATCCCAAAGTATAACAGCAATCTAACTGAGTTTTGTTCCTAAATAATAAATGTCAAAAGCAGTAACACTTCATATTCTGCCCAGGGGCTGACTTGTGGTGGAACAACTGGTTACCTTCTTTTAATTCTTTAATCTTCAATTTTCCTGGTTCTTGGTTTAAAACAGTCGCCACAGCAAATGGATTTGATAAGTCTACTGGAAATCTTAGGTTCTGGTACTCAATTTCCTGAGAGACGAAGTCAGGCGGCAAAATGAATTGCTGTGCTGCTCTGTCATCCCTTCCATCACATCGAGAATGGATTTGATAAGTCTACTGGAAATCTTAGGTTCTGGTACTCAATTTCCTGAGAGACGAAATCAGGCGGCAAAATGAATTGCTGTGCTGCTCTGTCATCCCTTCCATCACATCGAGGATAAGCCCACATTACCTTAATCTTTTGAGGCATCGTCTTTGCTGGTAATCGGTGAAAATTTATATGTGTCATCGCTTTTTCTGGAGGAACGTGTACTTTCTTAGAAAGATTATTTAATCTTTCAAACTCTTCTAATCTATAGTTTAAAATAGATAGTAAATTAGTATATAAGCCAATAGCTCAAGTTTTCCACTTTTATGTTCTTTCTGATAATACCATGACTTGCAGTCCATTTTTATATCTAAACTGAAAATAAACCTGTGTGTCAGAACAGTGGTCTACTAACACAAATGCAGCGCCAGTATATGAGAGTATATCACAATGGCCCACCAATGGTTATTTTCCCTTGTATTCTTAAGCAACATGACGAGTGGAAAACATGACATGCTGAACATGCTCTCATGGTCTGGCATACTTTATTTCTAGGCTGCTGGCTTTGAACAGCTAAATTTATTACATTTAAAAAATCTTATCTTGGGCCGGCCCAGTGGCGCACTGCTACAGTGTGCCGCTTGGGAGCGTGGCGGCGCTCCCGCCGAGGGTTCGGATCCCACATACAGACCGGTTCCCACTCACTGGCTGAGCGAGGTGCGGGCGCAACACCGAGGGTTGCGATCCCGTTGCTGGTCCCGGTCCGGTACGGGCGCGACACTGAGGGTTGCGATCCGTTGCCGGACACGAAAAAAGACAAAAAATAAAAAAAGTAAAAAATAAAAAATAAAAATCTTACCTTGATTTATCTATCTTCTTAGCAAGACAATGATTATGCCCAATTGTTTG